CCCCAACCCCCCCAACCCCCGACAAAAGACAGACAAGACCGTCAAAATCGCAAAACGCCCTAAACAGGCAGGCCCGCTCTCCTCACTCCCTCCTCACTCACTGACGACGACTTACACGTTCGTATACAATACATAAAAAGAGACAAAAGACACATAGATAGCTACAGATGCATACGTTCGTTCGTTCATTGGGACGTGGCAACCTGCCTGCCTGGCTGCCTGGCTGCCTGTCTGTCTGTCTGCCTGCTACCGCCGCCTGGCCTTTGCTACCTGCGCCTGGTGCCAAAACTTCGTGGCACGCCGGCGGCCCTTCACCTGCACCACACATACCATAGCACACACACAGATACATAGCAGTGTACGTCTGTGGACGTCTGTGTGTGTGTAGGGTAGGGTACCCATCCGAGCACCGCCATGGTGTCGATGACAAGCTTTGTGGGGTTCCACTGACGGCCCACACCGTACTCACTGACAACCAGCCATCCATCCATCCATCCATCCACACACAAACACAAACACACACACACACTTCTCTCCCTGCACATCCATCCATCCATCCCGGTGCGCACCTGCAAGCATAGTCGAACGGGTATGTGTGGTGCCAGTTGTGCCAGCCCTCGCCCGACGACAGCACCGCCACTGCGGTGTTCTCGGCCGGATTGATGGAAGCGCTGTACGGGTGAGAGCCCCACAGATGGGCGGCGGAGTTGACCAACCTGCTCATCGCGAACAGACAGACAGACGTGTGAAGGGGTGGGTGTGGAGGTTTGTGCGTGCGGGTCGTTACCGACCAAGTGCAGTGCAGGACGAGGATCCACCTCAGCGCGCCGAGCACCACGAAGCCAGTCCACCCATTGCCATACCGCCAGTAGGCCCACAGCACCGGCAGACCTTACCATGCACACACACACACACAGAGACATACAGACATACCTCTGCACATCACATCACATGCATCCCTGTCTCGCTGTGCCGTGCCGTTGTGTCTGGCGTGGCGTACACACCGAAGCACATGAGTTGGTTGATCCATGCGTAGCTCTTCTGGAAGCGCACCAAGGGATCGGCCAAGAGGTCGCTGCAGTCCACCTGACGGCCGGCCTCCTTGACGGCCGCCGGCTTCTCGAGCAACAGCCAACCCATGTGGGCATACCTGTAAGACAGACAGACAGACACCATACATACCGACCGCCCAGAAACACACACATATAGACACAATTACACACATACGCCCCGGCACGGCTTGTGTGTATGGCTTGGCTGGCTGACCAGAATCCTCTCTTGGCGTTGTGGGGGTCCTTGTCGGTCTCCGAGTACCGATGATGCACACGGTGATCTCGGGCCTGACGACCAACCAACCGATAGATAGGGCATGATTGTGCTGTGGGCGTGTACTGCATCCCATCCATCGCCCGCCCACCCAGTGGTAGATGCTGCCCTGGTTGGCGATGCAGTTCCACACAAGCAGCACCAGCCGGGCCTCCCATGACGCCTCGTAGCTGCGATGAGCCCACAACCTGCACATACCCACACACCCACATCACCTGTCTCTCGCAACACACGTGTGTGTTGTGTGTGTCTGTATGTGTGTGTGTATGTGTATATGTGTGTGTGTGTGTGTGTGTGGTGCTCGCCTGTGTGCTCCTGCGGTGATGCCCAGCTCAGACACGAACCACCACAGCACCAGCTGACCGATGGACAGACACCAGGAACGAACAATCACACAGGTGGCGGATGATAGTCGGTGCGTGCGGCAGCTCACGTCCGCGAACAGCGCGGCTCGCTTGGTGTGTGTGGCGAGGCTGTACAGCCCGACCACGGCCAGCACGTGTGCCACGAAGAGGAACACACACATGCCTCCACGGTAGCCCTGTCAGCAACACAACACAAGACATCAAAACGCATCAACCACATGTCTGTCTGTGGACGGGAGGGACGTGGTAGTCTGTTTGAGCAACCCGACTGACCTGTGTGTGCTCGTCGATGATGGCCACGCTCAGAGTGCACGACGCGAAGGCATACAGCAACACGCCCCTGGGCGTAGCGCACCAATCAACACGCACATCCAAACAGACCCACAGACAGGCAGACAGACAGACACACAGCCATACAGACAGGCACCCGATGAATCAATCATTCAGTCAGTCAAGTCGCAGAGGCTTGTGTTTGTTGGTTACTCGAATGCGTTCAAGGCGAGCCCGTCGCTGTTGCCCGCTGCCGCACCCCACTCGCGAAGGCACACACCCAGACACACCAACGCCTACAGCAAGCAAGGAAGGAAGGAACCGACAGACAGACAGACAGACAGACACCACAAATCCAACGACCATCTAACTAACAGAGACGCTGACCTGCCTGCCTGCCTGCCTCCTCACCCACCCCACCTACCCACCTGGATGAGCTGCCCCAGTGCGACCACCCACCGCCACCTGCCCAGCCACTGGCCCATACCAACACCAACACCGCCCGTCTGGCTTGGTGCCGCTTGAGCCCTCTTGCTGCAGTGCTTTCTGCTGGCGAATATGACGCCGAAGTTGAAGAAGTAGGAGAGGGTGAGGGTGATGAGATTGAGCAGCACGAGGAGGGACAGGTAGGGGGCAGACACCATCCAGGCACACCAGCAGTGGGCCGCCTGAACGAAGGGATGGATGGACGGACAATTGAATGAAGTCATGAGCCACAGAGAGAGAGAGAGGGAGGGAGAGAGTGGTGTGTTTCTTGTGTTGTGTTGTGTGTGTGGTACCTACCATTGCGCTGCTGAGTATGCCTGGCAGTGGCGAGGGGCGTTGTTTGCTGTCGAGCATCTTGATGACCAGCGGCACCAGCTCCAGGATCTTGCCGAACGAGAAGACCGAACTCACTAAAGACTGACAAACAAACAAACGAACGGATCGACAGAATGAATGCCATATGTATGCGGTGGGTGAGAAAGTAAGTGGACACGCGCCTCCCTCCCTGCCTGCCTCCGTCTGTCTGTCTGTCTGTCTGTCTGTCAGAGTGCGTCAGTACTGCGATGTTTTGCCGTGACCGCATTGTGGTGGGAATGTACTCCTCCACTACCTGAGTGAGCAACAAACACGCCAAGCACAAGACGGACGCACACAAACGTCGTCACGCGCACTGCACTGCACTGCACCCACTGCACCCACTGCACGTGCCGCTCACTCACTGACCAGCAAGACGACGCCAACTGCGCAGAAAACTCCCGGCACAAAATTGCACACCATCCCTGCGCAGAGCACACCAACCAAACGCACAGACACACAGACACACAGACAGACGTCAGTCACGTCATCCAACACAATTCAACACACACTGCTCTACATCGTCGCATCAGTGGTGCCAGGCTGACTCACCCGCAACGCCATCGTGTTTGGTCAAGAAGGAGCCCTTTCGCTTCCACACTGCAAGGGTGTGCGTATGCGCGTGGCTAAAGTCAGCGGCTTGAGACTCGGCAGCGGCAGCGCCACTGCCGCTCACACTCATCGCACCCGCTGGTGGCGGCTGCACGCCGGCTCGTCGCGAAGTCGGCGACGGCCTTTGCACATCGCTCTCGGCCGCAATCTGGCGCATCCTTGAATCCCCCTTACACCTTCCCAACACCTCAACGAAAACCCAAAGCTCGCACTCCAGATGCCTCATCGGAGCCTCGCATCTTCCCCGGGAGGCAGGTTCTCTTTCCGCCGTACTCCGCCTTTCACGACTTTGATCCTACAGGTGCCAAATGCTGCTGTGCTGCCGCTGGTGCTGATGGACGACAGCGAGTGATCGCGAGGCACACAAGGAAGAGAGGTAGCAGCCAGAAGAACACGGCTGTGCGGGCCTCCATGATCCCTCGATGGGCTTTAACATCGTGCGCTCATGCTTCTGGGTCATCGTTGCTGGTATGTACTACGAGAGAGAGTCACAGTGTCACACACACACACACACACACTGTGTACATCTTTCCATCCTTTGACTGCCTGCCTGCCTGCCTGCCTGGCGTGTGTTGTGTGTAGGTTGGGCAGCTTTTCTGGTCTTTCACATCTACTTGCTTTCTCAGTCCGCCCACGACTGGACCCGGTCACACATCCAGATGCTCACCCCTCACCTCGCTGGCACGAGGAGCAGGAGGGGCCGGCTGAAGGGCAAGGGCACCGTCCTGGAGCTCTTCCCCGGCGAGCAGGTGCTGCATGTCGGCCCACAGGCCAAAGCCAAGGCCATGTTCAACCGCGCCGGGTCTGACGACGAAGAGTGGGCCAAGGAGGTTGACGAGCAGATGGAGGAAGAGGAGGAGGACACGGCGGGCGACGATGATGACTTTGTCGATGATGATTCAGAGTGGGACGATCCTGAAGGCTTCGCCGACAGCGAGAGTGTCTCGGGGCAGGATGGACCGAAGGATGATAGATCTGCTTCAGGTTCAGGTGGTGACGAGTCTGCCGAGGGAAAGGGGCAGCAGGGAGAGGCTGAGACGAACGAAAGTCAGGGGAACGGGTCGGACGGGAGGGCATCTCACCAGGGTGACCTGATGTCATCGATGCGCAAGAGGGCGGAGCAGGCGGCACCGAACTGACTAATGGATGGTGTGTGTGTATTGAGTGAATGAATGAAGGGCGGCTTTGTTGTCTGTTGGGTGTGGTTCATTGTCCATGCCATGGATGGATGGCTATTTGTAATTCATTCAGGGGTGGGGGTGGGGGTGGGTGTCGGTCGGTGTGGGAACCTTGGGCTGATCGATGGATGGATGGACAGTGAATGCATGTCTGTGTCTGTGTCTGAGTCTGTGTCTGTGTGTGTATGTGTGCATGTATGTGTGTGACAATTTGTGTATAGCTAGACGGAACCGGCCGATCTGATCACATTCATGTGTTGACTGACCTGACCCACTCATTGATCACGCTACCACTGACCGAAGCCAGCCAGCGACAAATATGTATTCCCCGCACCCACCCACCGGTCATTTATTTCATTATATGATTCATCCATTCATTCAGTCGTGCAGTGCAGTGCACCCATCCCATCTACAGACAGATCGATCCATGTATCATCATCACTGTGCGATGGGATATGGAGCCAGTGAGTCGCAGGCACTGCACCATCACATTTCTCTCTTCTTCAACACACACACACCACGAGTCCCCCAGCAAAGCGAATGTCTGCTCGACACACAAACACATACACACATACAGTGCAGCACACTGACGGCTTGACAGCAGGACGGACCGAGGGAAACCGGTTGGCTGTCATATGAGTTGCATGGCTTTCTTGAGCAGCGGGAGGGACTGGTTGGTCTTCATCCTCCCCGCAGCCTTGATGTACCCATCCGTCGAATACGAACCGGGGCCGGGGTCCTCCGACTTCTGCACAGACACAAAACCACAGACAGATGAATGCACTCATCCACCCACCCATCCATCCATCCATCCGTGATCTGAGTGGCCACATTTGCTTACATTTGCTTACCTGTAGTCTGGCGGTGGATCGCGTGTCTTTGAGCTGCTTCTCGGGGTTCTTCTGGGGAAAATACTCGGGGCTCAGCTTGACAGGCGACAAGCCAGCCAGTGTGGTCGACGGGCTGAATCGAATCGAACCGCACACACAGGCAGGGACAACTCTGCTGCCATCGTGTCTCTCTTATTGTGCGTGTTTGTGGGTGGGTGAGTGGCCGGCGTCTCACGCTTTGTATGTGCCCGGCCCCGGAATGCTCTTTGCGATTCTAGCTGCCTGGTCGGAGAAGGTCATGCCGGTTGCCTTGGGCATCACCGCCCGCGGACCCTCGCCCCACGACTTAGCGCCCTTTGTCGACACCTGACATGGATGCCATGTCACGGAGACAGACAGACAGACGGGCTGAGCTGCGCTTTTTTTCTGTCTGACCGTGTGTTCGTACACAGGTACCGTACGTACCGTCACGTTGTATATGCCAGGTGCGGGCACGTCCCGCTTCATCTTTTGGACCACATCGATAAAGCTGGGAGGCTGGTACCGATCAAATCAAAGAAAAACATGCACACAGCTCATGTGGTGTCTCGCCATTGGGGCGCGGCGCATACCGATGTCGTGGCTATCTTGGGCGCTCTCTGCTCGCCCAGGCTCGATATCTGACCCAGCCAGCAACCGACAGACGATCGAACGTGCATATATCGATCAATGTGCGCTGGCGTTTGTTTCCTTGAACACATACATACATACCGAGTGCGGCCCAAGGTAAGGCCCTGGGCCCATCTTTTTGAGGCTGATGCCTGTCGACCGCAGGGCGGCCTGTTGGATGCTGCGGGCCTTCCTTTGCATGATGATTTGGCTCTTGAGCATCTCGAGTGTCTCAATCTGCTCCTCCCTGGCCTTGATCTTTGCCATCAGGCTGTCCCGCCGCCGCTTGGCATCCTCTTTGAGCTTCGACAGCCGCTCCTGCTGCTCCAAGTACCTGCAGACACACACGTGCGCACACCAATGGGCAATATATGTGTCTCTCTCTGTGAGTCTGTGTGTTTGTGTGTACCTGATCTCTTGTGTGGCGTTGAGCATTTTCTTCTGCCTGTCGTGCATGGCCTTCCTCTGCTCGAAGGTGGACACCCGCGCCTGGTACCTGCCGATGTACTGCTCGCCGCGAATGGCCCTGTCGACGGCCGCCTCCTCCTGCCGCCTCAGCATGTCCTGCCGCTTGGCGCGCCAGAGGTCCGACTGGAGGGTGGAGTACGACACACGGCTCTGCTGCAGCTGCTCCATACGCTGCTCAGACTCATACTGACGCTGCCATTGTGTGCAGAGAGACGGAGGGAGCGGTGGGATGATGATGTCGAATCGCACACTAGTTCACTCACTGACCTACCTCTTCTTGCTCCTGCTGTTTGCGTTTGAAGGACTCGCTGAGCTGTGCCTGCAACTCAGCACTTCGCTCCTTCCTGGCGCTCTCGGCATCCTTGACCTGTGTGTGAACCAAGATAAACGAAGAAACAGACGGTCGATGGAGTCGATGCGACACTCATCTGGCTGGCCGGATGAATGGGTGGTTGGTTACCCGTTGTGCTTTGAGTGCGATGTGTTCCCTCGACCTGGCCTGCTTCTCTGCGATCCGCGCCAATCTGTCCTGCAACTCCTTCTCACGCACCAACTGCATGGCATGCACGACACACGAAGGAAAGGAAGGAAGAATGCTGCAAATGAGCTGTTGTGCCTCCTCTTTCCCTCCCACAGTCAGTCACCTGGCTCTGGTTCTCCTGCTCGATCATCGAGTGATATCGCAGCTCCCGCCTCAGCTCCTGCTCGAGCCGCCTCGCCTCCCTGACATAAAAGACAGCCCTTGTGTCTCACGACACGCTCACTGATTCGGCGAGCACACCACACCCACCTGTCCATGAGCTGCTCGATGGCGTTGAGCGAGGACAGCTGCTGGCTGGTGAGGGTATCAGAGCCCTGTGACTGATGGTGCAGGAAGCTCATGGTCATCGACTCGGCCAGCCGCGCATCCCCGCCCTCCTCCTGTGAGTATGTTGTGGCGGCCATGGGGTCTTCGAGCAGCTTGTCACGCTCGTCCAGCACCTGGTTGAGCCGCTGCTGCCGCTTTCTTTCGGCATACTCGAACCGCACCTGCTGTTTCTCCTCGGCCTCGCCACGCACAAAGAAATCCTCCAGCCTGCTTAAAGGGAAATCGTACTAGTGCATGGCAGCAGTGGTCTGTGTTTTCGATCCTTTTCTACTTTTTCGGTCTGAGATCGACCGGTTTGAAGCCGAGCCTCTTGCAGGCCGTCTTTGTCCTCGGTGACTTGAGCAGCTCCTCGATCTGCTCCTGCTCCATCGCCTGGGCGTTCTGCATGGCGATGTAGTCGGTCACGGCAGCTATCGCACGCTGCGCCACCGCCTTGGGGTTGGACAATGCTTGTGACTCATCTGCCGTGTCCCTGTATTCATGGGCGTCTTCACTGTGGACGGGGGGCGGCGAGGAAGGGACTTCGGGATCGTTCTGAGATGAAGCGCCCCGGTGACGCTCTGCAACCAGTGTATGCAACACAATGATGAGTAAGCAAGGTTTGTGGCAGCTATATACGTACGTGCGTAAGCTTTGCCGGCTGCGAGGGCCTCTTCAAGGGTGGCGGTCTCGTCGACGGGAGGAATGTCCGCCTCCCATTCCGACGGGTTGACGAGACCGTACTCAACCTCAAGACGGCCACTGATCTCCCCTGACTGCATGGCATGCCCACAAATAAACACACAGATAGATCAGACAGAGGGGGCTTTTCCCCTCACCTCATTCATCAGCGTGACAATCTCTGCCCTGGTGGGGCCTTCGCTCTGCGGCTCATAGGTCAGCCCGTCTCTGCCAATACACACTTCTTTCCCGTCAGGCCCCCTCGTCATGCCCAGAAACGACAGTCGCCACATCCGGCCATCCTCGGCAGGCGGATAATCGAAGAAGAACGATTCGTTCCATTCACACACCTTGCCGGTTGGCGCGAGTGTGGTGGTCTGCCGCTGCTCGCCGCACTTGATGGCGACGTATGTGTTGTGCGGCGGCTTGGGAGGCGGGATGGTGGTAGGGCTGCAGTCTCCCTTGACGATGGTCACCCGAAGCTGTCTCGCAGAAGGCGACGGCATCTTGGATGAATCAGCAGTGCCAATGGGCGATAGATGGGCTGCAGAATTTGTCGATGTTCGAACACACAGAATCAACGGCAGACTTTTCCGTTGAACAAGCTCGCTCCTTGGCCTTCCCTCCGAAAGTTCCTGCTTGCAGGCGTCCCCCGCCATCCATGGCGACGGAGGATCTCGATATCCAGGCCGTCATCGGGTTCCGAGGTGAGGAAACACGCACGATGCTCTCGCGACAAAGAAAGAGATGGGGGCTCGATACGAGTGCCTTTGAGCCCAAGCAAGGCCTTCACGCGACTGCACTTCAATTTGCACTGTGCAAGATGATGTCTGTGCTCCCCCAAATGTGTGTGTGTGTGTTAGGTGTGGTGCCTAATGGTTTGCGGCTGCACCCCGATGGCGAGCACCTGGTCTTCCCCCTCGGCTCATGTGTTGTCATTCGCAACATCCTGCAGAGGACACAGACCTTCCTGCAGGGACATGACAACCAGGCAAGAAATGAAAAGAGAGAGGAGACGGACGGGCTACCAATCTGCTGTTGCTGTGTCTGTACGTGTGTGCAGATCAGTGCCATCACCCTGTCCGCCTCCGGCAAGTATCTGGCGTCAGGACAGAAGACCTTCATGGGCTTCCCCGTAAGCTGCTGTTCTCTCCACTGGTGTGATGTGATGCACCCGTCTCTCTCTTTCACCTGCTGGTGTCACTCCTTCAGGCGGACATGATCATATGGGATTTCGAGAGCCGCAAGGCGACGCATCGCCTGCGGCTGCACAAGGTGGCCGTGCAGTGCATCGCATTCTCGCCATCGGAGCAGTTCATGGCCTCGCTGGGCGGGCAGGACGACAACTCTATCGTCATCTGGGAGGTGCGGATGCCAAAGCAACAATTGACATCAGTCAGAGTTGTTGCCGACTGGGTGCGGTGAATGCAGGTTGAGAGCGGGACGCCGATCTGCGGCACGCCGGCAGCAACTGAGGTGGCCAAGTCTGTGACGTTCTTCTCCAAGTCGGATTTCCACCTTGCGTCGGGCGGCCAGTACCATGTCAGACTGTGGAACTTCGACCTCCCTAACAAGAAGGTGAGTGACAGCAATGAAATTCCGTCCGCTGGTGGTTGATAGATACGTCATGCTCTCATGTTTTGTGTTTGTCAGTTGCGTCCCACTGGCTGCAACATAGGGAAGCTGCGCCGCACCACTCTGTCGCTGCTGGTGCATCCCGAGGACACGGTGCTCTACTGCGGCACACAGAGCGGCGACCTGCTCGAAGTCGGGCTGGAGAGAGGTAAGCGTCGACACATGAGACACATGATACGGGAGCCCTGTTGCTGTTCGTGTGCAGGGTTGTTCAAAAAGTCTGGCCCGCCGAAGGAGTTCTTCAAGCGTGGCATCACGTGCAGCGTCATGATACCCAACGGAGACATCATCATCGGAACAGGCGATGGCACACTCGCCAAGGTGAGTGAATAAAGTGACTGACATTGACATAAGCAGGATCGGCGTTCATCCATTGCGGACGTGTTACGTTACCCTCTGCGTGTCGATTCCCTGTCCCTTGCGGGTGCCACGACCCACTGCAGCTGTCGTCTGGGACACTGCGTGTGCGGACCCAGAATCAGGTGTTGGGCGAGGTGACGTCTATATCCCTCACGCCCGACGGCTCTCACTTCTTCTGCGGCACGTCCAAGTCGAACATCTACTGGGTGGGTGAGGGGGCCGAGACACGCAAGACACCTGCTTCTCGTCTGCCTCCTTGATTTGTGTTCCATCCATGTATACCAGGTTGACTGTGATTCCCTGATGGCCGAGCTGCGGACGACGTGCCACTCAGAGCGCATCAACGCCATCACATTCCCATTCGGATACTCGGAGGCACACAAATCAAACAAACGATACACAAGCAAACTGACCATCATTGTCCCTCGCTCTCTCCGTGTGTTTTCTGTGTGTCGAACGAAGGTGTTTGCGACCTGTTCCATGACCGACATCCGTGTCTGGAACGCCAAGGTATGTCAGCCGTGCCTTCTGGATGACGACCGTGGCTCATTGCCTTCTGGATGCGACAATTGTGTGTGCTGCAGACACGGCAGGAGTTGCTGCGCATCCAGGTGCCCAACCTCGAGTGCCACTGCGTCGCATTCATGAGGGACGGCAAATCCATCGTATCAGGTCAGAACTGAAAAAGGACGAGACACCACATCGATATCAATGTTGGTGTCTTGTTTGTTTGTTCGTTCGTTCGTTCGTTCGTCAGGTTGGTCCGACGGCAAGATTCGCGGCTTCCTGCCGCAGAGCGGCCGGCTGATGTACGCCATCCACGATGCGCACCAGAACGGCGCCACCGCCCTGGCCTGCACGTCGGACTGCGGGCGGGTGGTGTCCGGGGGCATGAATGGCGAAGTGCGTGTGTGGAAAATCCTGCGGTGGGTGAGATGCTGCACGTATGGAAGCAGATGCATGACACACAACATGAACATGGCGCTTGTTTTGCGTGTGCTTTGGGTGGGTGCAGTCAGACCCAGACGATGGAGGCCTCGCTCAAGGAGCACCGGGGACGCGTGTGGTGCCTCAAGGTGAAATCATATGCGCATAACCCATAGCTGGCTGGCGAAAGGGCAATGCGGTCGCGTCCGTCTGTTTCGTCAGATCCGTGAGAACGATCAGCAGGCAGTGTCTGCGTCATCTGACGGCTCGGTCATTGTGTGGGACCTCAACACCTTCACAAGGTCCGTCCGGGGGATGCGAGGGAAGGAAGAGCCACAGACGTCGATCGACACTCAATCGGATGGCCTCTCTCCCTCTCTCTCTCCCCTTGGTTTGTCAGGGTGTCGTGTTTGTTCGATTCGACGATGTTCAAGGCTTTGGTGTACCACCCTGACGAGTCACAGATCCTCACCACAGGATCCGACAGGAAGCTCACGTGGTCTGGTCGATAGATACCCACATGCACTAAACCGACACAGACAGACACACCAACCAATCGTGTATGTCTATGCATGTGTGTGTGTGTGTGTGTAGGTGGGATGCGTTTGACGGTCAGCCGATCCGTGCGTTGGAGGGGAGTGAGACGGGCGAGCTGACGTGCCTGGCCATCACCCGCAGCGGCTCCCACTTCCTCACCGGCGGAGAGGACAAACTCGCAAGGCTCTGGGACTATGACGAGGGGGTCAGCAGTGGACTGCACAGTGGGTGGCCCTTCAGCTGGGACAATACTCTGTACATGTCCCTCTCTCTCCCCCTGTGTGTGTGTGTGTGTGTGTAGGTGTGCAAGCACGCAGGCCTCGGCCACAGTGGGGGCATCACTGCGTGCGCCATCGCCCCGGACCAGAGCTTCGCTGTCACGTGCGGACAGGTAACAAATCAACACACAGAGAGAGACCGCCATTCCTTGTCGGTGTGCTGTGTGCGGATGTGTGTGATTGTGTTAATTGCATTGCAGGAGGGTGCGATCTTCATGTGGAAGATCCCCGAGAAGGTTCAAGAGGCTGCGCTAGACGAGTCGGGGCTGCATTAATGGAACGTAGATAGCACTTCAGCGGACCGTTGACAAACTGACGCGTGCCAACCACTATATAATGGATTCGTTCATATGGATGCATCGCCTGCTACAATTGATGTGTGTCTCCCATCCATCCCTCCACCATCAGTGCAGCTTATCTCGTGTGCAGCAGAGTCGGCCATACGACGTAGTCAGAGAGGAAATGGTCCAGCTTCTCCATACATGGCTGCTCGCCGGCGCAGCAGAGATACTTGCCGCCGTCGGTGAGGTCGTCTATGTCTCTGATTGCCTCCAGATGTTGGTCATACAGACGTTTGACCGGCCCGGTGAGCAGGCGGATCTCAGCTGACGCTTCACGATACAGCAGGTCCAGCGACTGCACATGCGGCCGCACGAAGGAGGGAGAGCCCTGAATGAAGAGAGAGAGAGAGACGCATATACCCGACGCTTGTGTCTCGTTTGTGAGCGTCTTGTCACCAGGTGTTTCTTGTCTCCGTTTCTGTACAGCCATATGAGCTTCGCCCTCGGCGGTCTGTCGTCCAAAAAGTCAATGGCGTGCGATGGCTAGGCATAGACACCGCCTGACGCCCCGGACATACGCTCTGCATGAACACAAACACAGGAGAACAATGGCCACAATGGCGGTCGTGGAGGTCATGGGCCATCCATCTACCTTTGAGCGCGGGAGGTCTTCTGAGCGGTTTGCGTTTGGGTCTCTCCCTCACAGACGAGTATACCTCGTGGCATCGCGTGGGGCTCTCAGTCATCCCATCAACGTAATACACGTATCTACACGAGACACAACAGGGCCAGGCATACGAGCAAAGCTGAGTGTGCTGCCTACTCTCGTCCCGCCAGCCCTCTGCCCTTGCCGTTCTCATCGAATCGCTCCCTATGTGCTCCTGCAGACAATCGGGGAAGGCAGCAGTTTTGCTGCGATGCTGCTTTGCAACCGGGTACCTGTATAGAGGGAGGGATCACACAGTTTCTCGAATATGTTGCGGTGGCGGCCGACAGCGCTTGAAAGTGCCATTCTTGGCGTCTTGGTTGGTTGGTTGGTTAGTGTGTCGGTATGCGACGTGCCAAGAGACTGGGGGCCTTCCGGGGGAAACCCTCAGCTGAGCTCAGGAGGCCTCGTGAGTGTTCCTTGGGTTCCTCTGTGCATGTGGAGCGTGCGTGGGTGATTCCTGTTGCGTGTCGTCGTTTGATTGTGCGTGAAAGACATGGGACTTGGCCGTCAGGCCGCTTAGGACATTTCGTGAAACCGCTCTCTCAGCTGAGCTCAGCTAAGCTCGCAGACGCGGGGGAGACACTCGTTCCTTCTGAGGGGTTGATGAAGAGCCTGGGTGTGCCTCTGCACGTACTGCGAAGCGCTCATTCCTTCGGTGCCAATCGCAGATCTTTCCATCTCGCATCTCCGAGCCTCATCTCACCGGCAGTGCGGCTCTTCAGCAGCGCAGCAATGGAGAGCAGCCGACAGGAGGGAGCGCAGGGCAGGCAATTTGACCCAAACAAGGTGAGCATGCCGGACTTGAATGAGCGAAGAGCGAGTGTCTTCTGTGTGTGGTTCCAGCTGGCTGGTGTGCTGTTCGATATGGATGGGACCCTCACTCTGCCGCACCAGATTGACTTTACCAAGATGAAGGAGAGGCTCGGCATTCCCCCGCATGAAGACGTCCTCGTAAGCTCCAGACGCAACAGTACGACACCGACACGCACACACAGATGGACTCGCTTGTATGGCGTGTGTGTCAGCGTACGCTGAAGGAGCGGTATGGCGACTCGCCGGATGAGTATGCTAGGGCCATGCAGATCATTGTGAGCACTGTTGCCGCAAACACAGCGCGCTTGTGTCCATCGTCGTATGTCATTCCTCCCTTACTCGTTCTTCACTCAGGATGAGGTCGAGGCCGAAGGGGCCGCAGAGCTGGCACTGCAACCATACTGCAGAGAGGTCAGTGACCCACACACAGAGAAAGGAAGACAGGCAGGTACCGATCTCCTGTGTGTGTGTGTGTGTGTGTGTGGATCATATCGATTCATCCAGTTGCTGGCTGCCCTCCGGCGGTCTCGCCCTGACGTGAAGACTGCACTTGTGACGCGCAACTCCAGGAAACAGGTCAGGTCAGGCAGACAGGCGAACAAAGGCCTTCGGAAGTGAGTGCATATGCGTGTGCATTGTGATGGCGTCAGGCGGCTCACTTTGCGTCGATGCTGGAGTGCAACGGGGCTTCCTTCGATGCCATCATCTCTCGTGACGAGTGTGAGACCCTCTCGATGCCCGTCAAGCCCTCGCCGGCCGTCTGTTTCCACCTTGCCAACCAGGTCAAACAAACAACGAGACCACCCACTCACCGTATGACATAGCCGTCGATTGCGCTTACTTCTGTCCATTACAGTGGGGCGTATCTCCTGAGGATTGCATGTTTGTTGGCGACTTTAGGGACGACATGCTGTGCGGCAAAGGCGCAGGTCAGACAGACAGAGATGCACACGGCGAGCCGTGAACTGTGCCGCATCCATCCACTGGTGTCTGTCCCCATCCATTGGCTGCAGGCGCATGGACGTGTCTGATAGAGAACCACAAGAATCAAGAGTTTCGCGAGCTGGCCGACCTCTCAGTCGACTCACTCGCAGCCCTCGCACGACACCTGCAGCTGCCCCTCGCCGCGCCTTCCTCCTCTGTGCACGTCGATATGGGGGAGGGCATTGGGGGTGGGGGCGTGGCTGTTGACGTGTGCGTGTCGAGTGGATCGATGAAGGCTGTGGCTGGCTGATGAACATACAAGTCGAAGTGTACAGACAGAGAAAAAAAGCGCGTGACGTGGCTCGTGAGTGCAAGTGAGTGGGTGGGTGAGGGGGCGAGAGGGCACAGCACCGCCGCATGTTGATGACACGGTGGTCTGTGGACAGACACCATTCGTTGTGCATGAGAGACGATGTTACATACATACACGGATCGATGTACGTACGGCCACTTACAGCCGGATATCACACTGACTGGCATAAAAATCTTGGTCACACTCATAAGACAAAAGACTGGCCAGCTGATATGTGCAGTCATAGATAGAGGATCAAAAGACGTCTCACATATCAGCTGGCCAGTGAGCAGTACATGAATCCGCCGTCCCACATCCATGCATCCATCCATCCATCACAACTGGACCTTCGCCCTCTTTCTCGGCGGCTGGCCATCCGAGCCGTCGTCCTTGAGATAGTCGTCCAGTACCGACCCCATTATCTCGCGAAGGACCGAACTCTGGAGGAGCTGGTTGAGCAGCCAATCCTTGTAGCCGAGGCGCACCATTCGTCGCAGGAAGGGTGCAATGTCGGGGGGGTGCGCCTTGAAAACTTGGGGTGTCATGGATGCCTTGAGCAGCTCCCCGAAGTACCACCGGGCAATGCGCGGCGCGTCGTTGCCCCTGGAGCCCAGCCATGCCGTCAGCACTCGCAGCGGCGACACACCTTCCGCCCTGATGTGCGCCAAATACACTGATATGTGGTCAACCACCTATGGAATATCGACACGAACACACAACAGGGACGACATGACATCCATCCCTCCCGTTGCTCGGGTCGTCTATTTAGCCCTCTACCTCATTGATGATAGCGCTGCCCATCGCTTGGATGTCGTCCCACTGCTGCTCCATGATCATCATTCGCAAGCAGTGCAGGACGAGACACCTGCGCACCATTATTGCATCACACCATACCGACCACACCATCCATCGAACGTCCGCAGCCACGCACCTCATGGGCAGGTGTCAAATCGTCACGGTGGCCTTGATGTCCTTGACCTTGGTCTCCTTGTCGCTGAAGGCCTCGTGGCGGTTGAATGGGATGGTCACGGTCAGGCCGGCGCCGAGGAGCCCCATGGAGTGTGTGGCGCTTGGTGCACTGCCGAGGAGCCCCATAGAAAAGACCGGCAGCGGCTCGCCAGTGTGCGAGTCGGTGCATTGGAAGCGGTATGTCTCCTGTATGCTGATGCTGCCGCCATCCCCGCCGTCAACAGAGAGGTTGGCATGCGGCGAGAAGCAGAAGACATTATGGGGGTCATCGGAGCTATGGAGATACTCGGCCGACACCGTAAATGCACGCACGTCTTTCAGAGGGATATCCGCACTGCCGCCAGCACTGGGAATCGGGTGAAGCGCCCCTAGTGAGAGTGAGTAGTCGCACTCGCCACCGAACGCACCGTGCTTTGCGCCGTGGATCGCAACGGAGAAAGAATCGTCGCGGGCGATGGCGCCGCCGGGCTCGTTGATCACAATCATGCCCTCGTCTGCCAGCCTCTCACACTCGAGGATGGCAGCGCTCTGCACACACTCAACCAGATGGGGCTGGCTGGCTGGCCTTTGTGCTCACTCATTGACTGACTCACCGCCTCATTGAAGCTTGCTGAGCCGGTGGCGTCCATCAGGAATCGTTTGAGCGTCTCGAGCTTCACCGCACAGGTGCCCTCATCAATCAAGCACTTGAGGTCTCGCAGCAAGTGGGTAACGAAGTCCCGCATGACGTCACCATCAGAGGAGTTGGTCACCCACTGAGCGGCCACCTGTTCGGCGTTCTCTACGATGAAGGGGGCACAGGCCAGCCGCAGGTCAGAATGGCCACTAATCAAGGACCTGGACGGAGGGAAAGACGGCACGAAGGATCCACACACACGAGTCATCCATCGTCTTGTTGGGTGCCCTGCGCACCTGATGAGTGGTCTGTCGAATGCCATTTTGAGCATCGCCCGGCAGAGGTCCTGGTCGTCGTGCCACCGATTGCGAAGCACCTGACATGGCACATTGCACAGCACGTCATTGCACATCTGATTGATGACAAATCCATCCGCCCTCCCTCCCTCCCTCCCTCCCTCCCGGTGTACCTTGCGGCCGAGGTCTTCGATGAGCTTCGGTCGGTCTTTGGCCACGGGATCCAGGAAGTCAAGCCCAACAACACAGTCCAACAGATTCTGCAGCACACCAGACACACACAGACGAACGGGTAATGAGAGAGGGGAGCACACGAGGGACCGACAGCGGAGTGCCTGCGCACCTCTCGGGTGATATCTTTGAGCATGTCGTTCCTCGTCTGCAGCACCACGCCAGCGATTGGCCGGGAGATCTCTTTGAGCGTCACTGTGCGCTCGGCCGACTCCTGGAAACCGCCGTCCAGCAACTGCAGCACACAGCACACAGAAAGCAGTCAGATCTTGCACCCTGCCATACATGCACTGGCATGATCGGTTCCTTACGGCTTGGAAGAAGGTGTACTGCTGCGCCACGGCCTCTGATATGGTCAGAGTGTCATCAGAGCCCTCGAACTTGACCGAGATGGGCTGACTCGCAGACATGACGCCGACAGAGATGCTGCGACACCTGACTCTAATTGCGCGCCAGCAGGCCTCCACTGCCCTTAAAGGCTCCAAAGAAGCGAAATTGCTGAAGCCGCACTTGGGTCGTAGGGCTGGTCGTGTAACGCTTGAGGGGAGAAAGGCAGAAAAATGATGATGCGGGTGGTGACCATGACTGGGCTCGAACAGAAGCACTCGGAGGTCAGCAAGCATGGAATTGAGCCATCGGCAGCCTCACCGGCAGGCAGGCCACGCTTGTTTTCTCTTCTTCATGCAGATCAGCTGTCTGATGTACCGCCTGTCCGCACTGGACCCCTCAGATCTCTCATCGTAGGTACGTACGTACGCCCAGAGGCAGGCAGCACTCACGAAGCGACATCGGCAGAACAAGGGCGGATAGACATCTGCCGTTTGTGTGTGTGTCTGTGTCACGCATGCAGGATTGTTCGCTTCACATGATAGCCGCATTGCATCAGTATGCCAAGCTCAAGGCCACGCTGAAGGCCCTCGTCAAGTCGGCCACCTTCCCTCAGCCGCGCACTGACGCATCGGTCAATGAAACCATCACACGATACACGCGAGTGATTCGCTAATCGTTTGTCTGTTGTGCGTTGCACTGTCCTGGTCAGGCCAAGTTGGAGGACCTCTCGGCCGACGCCATGGCTCGTCTGCAGACATCCACAGACCTGCCGGGTGTCGGCCGCCTCAGGACGACTGCTCGACTCCTCAAGAGGCACATCCGAGATGCCCTCGGCAGTCGGCTGACCGACGCCATCGACAAGGCGGGTCTGACGGGCGTGGTGCGGTTTGCGCCCCAGCTGGGCGACGGTGGTGTGGTGAAGGCGCTCTGGCTGATGGAGGAGGGGGGCGACTGGGGGGAGGTGGGGAATGGGCTACGACTGGCGGGGCAGTGTGATTACTGCCAGCTGCCCATCACCATCGATGCCAGAGATCTGCAGAAGCACGACACAAAGACCGTCAGCACCTCACACACGAAGAGGAGAATCGGCTGCATCGTTCTGTATGTGTGTGTTTCAGGCCTACTTGTCCCTTCCCCGTGTGGCAGCACAGTGGATGATTGTCGGTCGCCATTTCGTCTTCCGCCACGCTGACAGTCAGCAGGACGGCCCCTCCCCTTGTGTGTTCCGCGGCCCGACCACCAACGAGATTCGGGCGATCCGCGACGAGCCGGAGTTCGCCGTCACTCTCAATCCTCCCCTCTCCACTGATCACGTGCACCCCCTGTCGCAGCACCCCTTCCAACAGCACATGAAGCGCGATGACCCGCCCGTCCGATCGATCATTGAGTGCACTGCCGGCGGACAAGGCGGCTGGCGGGCAATCGGACCCGAGTACGCCGAGATGTCTGTGAGCGCCTTCATTTTGGACATGATCCTTCACCACTACACGGGGAGTGGCGTCCACTTCGAAGCCATGGAGATAGAAGTCCATCGGTGGGTACTGCTGTGGGGGAACGAACGTGATGGAGAAGTGGAGTGTTCTCCTTCTGTGTGTGTTTGTGTGTGTGCAGTGGTGTTCGGGGTGGCTATCTGGACACGTTGCTGACGCGGTCGCCTCACACGCCGCTGGAGGGATGCTCAGCCGTCGTGACGACCGAGGACGGTGGAACTGCATATCAGACTCATCTGCTAACGGCATTCGACGACCCCTTTATAGCAGGGGTTGAATTCAGAGTCCCTCCAGATAACCGTCAGGCCGGTGAGCGGAGGGAGGGCACGGGAAAATCAAACGGTGTCACGCAGGCGCCCTTGTCTCTCTCTGTGTCCTGTGGCAGTGGCTGTCGTTCTGGCGACGACAGAGCAGCCGGTGGGCAGCCCGGACGACGCCTTCCCCGTCAGGCATCCGCAAACCACAGCCAGGGCTCGGCGGTCACTCGGCGTCATCGCGCCCGTCTTTCTCGATGGCCAGACGCCATAGACGGCATGATAGATACCACACGGTCAGAGAAACATGATTGGGGAGACGTGACACAACTTCAGTGTCGATGCATCGGATAAATCTGGGTGGGTGCTTCCCTCCTCTGCTGCAGCATTGGCAATACGGCTGGCTGGCTGCAGAGCGCACCGGTGTCTACCAGCGTTTGAGTAGCGGATGGGGGGATGAATAGATGCAGGGGGGTGATCCATATGTGTGTGCAGACAGACGGGTTGGTTGGTTGATTTGAGTGTGCATATGTTGCCTTCGTTTGCGCATCTGGGGACTGACTGCATGATCGATCCCCCCATCTGTGTAATGATTGATTGAATGCGATGGTTCGCAGTCAGCAAGGATTCACAATAACAGATCGTGGCATGGCTCGACGCAGCCAGTTGTTGGCTTCCGTGTCATGTTTCGTCTGTGACACACACACGCGCGATGTTATCTGCGCTTCATGTGAATGGACAGCTCTGACACGATGACCTTCGTTCGAAAGGGAAAGTCATCGAGACCACCGGTCACGATGTGAGTGTTAAGATTTGTTCACCCATCAACCACTTAGTCAATCGATCACACGCAGACAGTCATTCCCTCCCTCCCTCCCTCCCTCTCTCTGACAACCCAACCAAACCCACCACATCCTATGCCCTCATCCCTGGGTCTCGTCGGTCACCACCAAATTTTGGTCGCTCCTCATCTGCGCCGCACTCTTGGGAATCGCACCCTCGTTCTTGCCGGCCGGCCTCGCAGCCTCCCCCTTCCCGCCGCCCTCACCCTCGGCAGCCGCCTTGAAGCTGGCCACCTGCGCCTTCAACTGATCTAGCGAGGCTGCCTCCTCCTCGCTGCCATCTTGGACTGCCGATGAGTCGTCAGTTCTCGGCCTCTTGGCGGGTGGCTGGTCAGCGGGTGAGGTGTGTGTGCCGTTCTCTGCCGCTTGGCTGTCACGCTTGTGGTCAGTGCTGCTGGCTGCCGGGGCGTCAGCGAGGACCTGGTCGAGGAAGGAGCCGTCGTTCTTGAACTGGTTCATGGTCTCAGCGGTCTTCTTGAGCTCCTTGGCGCGCTCCTTGTTCTCCTTGCGCTTGTGTCGCCTCTGTGCCTTCTTGCGCCTCTCGGTCTCGGCCGCCCTCTCCCTGTCCTGCTTGCGCTTGAGCATCTCCTCGGTCTCCTGCTGCGCCTCCCAGTCCTCGTCCATCTTCTTGAGGCGGTCCATCTCGATGCGCCGGTGCTTGCGGTACACGTGGAAGAAGTCACTCCCGGCGCCGGCCGTGGACCCCCAGACGTTGTTGACCTTCTCTATCTCCACCCGCTGCTCTGGCCGCTGCAGACGACCGCCGCCGGACACCTTGTGAGGGTCTATAGGCGCCGACATGATGCTTCCAACGACAGGAACAGCCAAGGGGAAGGGAGTTTTCCACTCATGCGAGCTCGCGATCGGAGGCTCTTGGAGTACTGCCGAAAACGAGGCCTGAAAGTAGACTCACAGGATCTTGCGATGGCCAACGATGCAATGCTACGTTGAGATCAATTCATCGGAAGCAGGGGATAGTGCGATGCAAGCTCTTTGGCATCGTTATGGGGAGATCTGACCCATCATCTCAGTCGCCAGCAGCGCCCCGATGACACATCTGTACAGCTGGGGCAGCGGCAGCTATGGCAGGCTGGGTCATGGCCACTCAGATGACATCGACTTCCCCACACGACTCGGCCCTCTCAATGGCAGGCAAGAAAGGACGACTAATGCACACACAGCGGCATTCAACATTCAATGATATACCCTGTCGATTCATCTCGTTGTTCTCTTCCAGCGAGGTGATATCTGCGTGTTGCGGCTGGTACCATAGTTGTTTGGTGACGCGGCAAGGGGGCCTTTTGCTGTGCGGCTCACAAGTCACCGGCTGCCTGGGTGAGCGCGGCTGCAGCCGCTCATCCATCATCCATTCGCTCTTTCCTTGCCTTGCAGGCACGGCAGGCCCCTTAGCCAGCACGGATACTGACAAGAAAGATGAGTCGGTGGCCAAGCCATCTCCCCTGTCCCGTGGCTGTTTCACGCCCCCGCCAGTGGCCTTCCCGCCTAAGACAGCCATAATGTCGGTCGCCGCGGGAGGGGGGATGCTCGGTGAGTGAGATGGATGGATGGATGGATGATAGGACGCACTGCCTGGCTTACTGTGATGCATCCGTCGATTGTATGCTTTCTTCTGTGCATAATGTGTGTGTGTCAGGTGCCCACACCTTGGCGTTGAGTCGGTGTGGCCGTGTGTGGGCCTGGGGGTTTGGACCAGCGACAGGCCTGGGTGTGGAGAAGGACCACGTCAGCCATCCGTCGCCCATTGATGACCTGCGACACACGCGCGTCGCGCAAATCGCAGCCGGGTATGGCCTCTAAGTGTCGATGTGACCTGTGATTCCACTTGTCTGTTTGTTGACAGGTCTGGGTTCTCCGTGGCTCTGACGGAGGGGGGACGCGTCTACACGTGGGGGATGGCTGCCAGCGGTGAGGGGCTGCAGGAGTGCATCCACGCACATGCTTACCATACCATGTGTCTGTGTGTGTTGCAGGTCGTCTTGGGTATCGTGTGGCTGGCCCGAACCAGCTGTACCCCGCACCTGTGGAAGGTATGGTAGGAGAGCATGATCCAATGGGTCGATGATGTGGAGCGGTCGGTATTTGCGTGTTTGTGCAGGGCTGAAGGGTGTGGTTGTGTCGAGTGTGTCTGCCGGTGCTGCACACTGCCTTGCCATATCTTCACAGGGGGCCCTATACTCATGGTACACACGTATTCCCACACGGCAGGCGACGACTCTTTCTTCTGTCCGTGCCCTGCAGGGGCGAGAATGCGCGTGGCCAGCTGGGCATCGGCGACCTAGTGGTATGTACACACACAAACGCGCCACAGCATCTTTACCTTTGACCACGATGGGCGATTGATGTATGCTGTCAGGATAGTTTCGAGCCGAGGCGCGTCCGCGACCCGTGGAGTGCCACCCAGGAGGGCAGCCGGTTCCGCCTCGTGTCGTGCGGCGAGTCCCACTCGATGGCCGTCGACAGCCAGGGCCGACTTTTCACATGGGGCGCATGCGGCGGACCCACCCTGGGACATGGGACACTCGCAGAAGCCAATGAGCTGGTGATAGAGGAACGACCTGGCTATGACGTGTTCACAGACGTGTGCTGTTTGCAGGTAGGCTTTGCGGCCCATTTTCGCATTTCGCCGTGTTCGTTTCCGTGGGTCACGCCCAAGCAGGTGCTGTGTCTGCGGGACTGCGAGGTGCGCTCGATCAGTGGCGCCTTCACTCACTCCATCGCACTCACTGCACAAGGCAAGCAAGCCGTTCAGACAAGCCATCAGACCACACCGCCACACCACCGCCCGCTGCGCATTATGTGTATTCGGTTCCTGTCCTTCAGGAATGCTGTTTGCGTGGGGAAGCCCCTCACACACGGCCGCACGTCCACCGCCGGCTACCAGTGATCGCCTAGAGGAAGAACAGGGATGGCATGAGGGACGCGACGAGCCGTGCCATCACTGGATGCCCAGATTGGTGAGAAAGCTCACAAGAGGCCGTCAGCAAGTGCGTGTATGCGTTGGGCATGTGTTGGCAGGTGCATCTTCCTCTGTTGGGTTTTGAGAGTGTGGCGGCTGGCGGCTGGCACAGCTTTGCGGGCGGCAAAGTTACCACACTGCTGGAGAAAACGCTCGAAAGTAAGCAAGCCACGACAGGCCATGTCGTCCCTGAGGTGCCACTGCTGCTGGTCCTCTATCAGGTGCTGATCGGACTGGTGACGTCTTCTATGAGCTGCCCGACGGCTGCAGAGTCTATGCGCACTCAGGTACACCGACAAACGAAATACACACACAGACCAGACCAGACTAGACCATCTCGCTGTTCCTTATCTGTCCACGTCAGCCTTTCTGCAAGTGCGATGTCCCGCTATAGTCGAGGCCTTCACCCGCCGGGCAGACCCACACCCCACTCACCCGAGCCCCTCGTCAGCCAGCCAGCCTCTTCAGTCGCGTGCCAGCAAGCCAGGCGGTCTTGACAGCATTGCTGAGGAGCCATCTGCAAATGAGGACGAAAGTGGGGGCACGGAGGGCCAGGAGCTGATCGAACTGGCCAATGAGATATATCGAGAGCGGGCAAAGGCAGCAAAGACAGCCGCAGCGACGCAGCAGAAGCCAAGCGATAGCCAAGCGGCATCGTTGCTGAGAGAGCTGTCGCCACAGTCCCTCCACGCACTAGTCTTCTTCCTCTATACCGATAGGCTGCCGAGGGATGGGCTGGGGGACATGGACGTGGACGGCCTGTGTCGAGTGGCTGCCCGGCTCAAGCTGCACCGGCTCAAGGCCCTAGCGGCGGAGGCGCAACCGCTGGTTGATGTCCCGCCGTCGACCGTTCCAGCCCTCCTCGCGTCACTGTACGCCTTCACTGAGCGAACGGCGCTTTTGCTGAGTGACCAGCCGGACGCCCCATCACCTCCCCTGCCCATCCCTCCCCCTCCCTTCGATCCCACGAGCCGCTTCGCAGCCTACATGACCTCCAAGGGCTTCCACCACGACGTCGACACTCTTCTCCTGTGCCACCACAAGCCCGATGCTGACGCCACCTCCGCCGCCGTGATGGCCCACTCATTTCTACTCGCGTCCGCCTATCCCATGCTGCTCCCGATTGGCCTCGTCGATACCCACTGGAGCAAAGAGGAGGCATATGCCAAGGAAAAACTGGGGAAGAAGCGTGAAGGGGGTGTCAGAGTGACGACCTATGAGACGAGCACCTCCAGTTACTATCCGGTGACGAGCGTCAACCGCCATGGGCAGGGAGGGCGGGAGGGGGAGGGGCATGGTGCGGCAGATGGGCGAGTGGTGGGGCTGGTCAAGACCGCCAGGGATAGAGGCGTGCACGTGCGGTATGTGGTCAGTGTGGCGGACATGAGCAGGGAGAACGTGCTTCGGGTGGTGCGCTTTGCCTATCTGCAAACACTGGAGGTGAGAAGAAGAAATCGGGCATGTCAACTGTCGCGTGAGTTTCCGTGTTGTGTTTGATCAGGCTGACGTAGCGTACGATCGGCGTCTACCGACCTCCACATTGCGGCAGCTGATCATCCTGGCCTGCAGGTGACAAACCCACTCATTCACCCATGTGTTTCTCGCTGTCCTGTCTTATCAGGCTGGGTGACGAGAGGCTGGTCTGGTATGTGCAGCACCTGCTGGTGGGTCGTGTGAGCAGCACCAACTGGATCGACGTGCTGCTGCTCGCAGACAACGTGACAGGTGACGCAGATAGAGGAGCACTGACAGCTGGTCGTCAGGACTCACCTTTCCTCTTCTGCCAGGCTGTAGCTATCTTGCAGAGGTGGCCATTGCGTGCGGGCATCGCAGCCTATACCCCGTCGGTGGCCAAGGCAGCGAGTGTCCTCTCATATACATCCCTTCGGTGTTCACTCAATGCAGGTGCTGCACAAGCGGCTCTCTATCCCCACAGGCCTCGAGGCCATCGACGCCAAGACCAACGACAAGAATGCCAAGAAAGAGGCCGGCGAGCCTGGCACAGCTGCGACAGAGACCGTGATGCCCTCTCTCACCCATGACAAGAGGACGGACGGCGACAGTCAGATCAGACACAGACAGCCATCAACCAGGTCAGGGCCCGCCAGCGATCATCAAAACATTTCTGGATTGTTTCTTGCCTGTGCCTGTCTTACTTGTCAGGTCTCATGTGGCGCAGAGCGACGAGGTGACTGGTGGGCCTTCGTCAACACCAACACCGCCTGCAACAGCTACCCACCGCAACCTCTCTGCGTCGCTGGAAGAGGTCAGCCACCACGCAGCGATCCGTGGGCAGACTCCCATCGTGCTCATATCTCGTGTTGTTGCAGGACGCTGAGCGGGCCCTGGCTGATCTGGACATATATGGCGACTTTGCGCGACTGAAGAGGGAGAGGCCAGCCAGATACCTCGAAATAAAGGTAACGACGATCGAACGGTCGGGCACCCAATCACCAGGTGGCATGGCTTTCATGCAGGCGCGGTTGGTGGGTTCGCTGCGGAGCGCAGAGCGCAACGCCCGTGTGTTCAACGAGGCGACCAACTACTTCACTCTTGTGCACCAGGGGGACGCGTCGGCCCGCCGCGGCGACTCACTCGCATTCCCATGGATGGAACTCCTGGGCATCGCAGCCCTATGTGGTGACCACACACACAGGAGTGCAAGGATGGCCTCATATACAGACGTGTGGTGAATGGTTTGTGTGTGTGGGTGGTGCAGTTTTTTCGTTCAATTGGAATGCGATGCTGACATTCCTGCAAGTAGACTCATCCGAGCGTATGGCCAAGCTGCTGGGGCTGCCGCGTGTGGAGATGGGGACCAGCCACCTCCGGTTCTGCGTCAACTCGGTGTTCATCATCCTGTTCATTCTCATCTGCTACAAGTCACTGGTCAAGGCATGATCGATGCATGCATACATTTGACTGATGGATACATGGGTGGATGGATGGATGGATGGATGGATGGATGGCGCCTGCCTTCTAGCTGAGTGTGTGCATGTGACCCGTTTGTACAGAATCTGACTTGCGGTGTTCCCGCGCAGCCGGAGAGAAAGGCATGCACTCAGTGGCACGGTCACCGAGTGCCACTCACATGTATTCTGCCTTCATGCGATGCGACTCTGGCCTAGTGCTTCACGTGTTCTCGCTGTCTCTACGGACAGGGACACAAAAGCTGAGGAAGTCCGGCGAGAAATCGCGCGGCGAGAATTATCATTCGAGACGGCCAATTTTCGAGACGGCCAATTACATGTAGTTTAAACTTCGTTTGGAAACATACGACGTCCTCCTCCCTCAACACTTAATCCACAGCACGTGCTAGCCTTCAACGACGTGCACGTGTTCGACATCGCCCGCTGCCGAGATCGCCCGCTGCCGATGAGCGCCGCCCCCGCACTGACCACAGCATGGTGCTGCACGGCACCACTGCATACATCTTCGTCGGATATGATGGACACAAAAGAAACCTCCCAGACGAGCGAGATGGACCGCCCAGGAATGCTGAGCGAGATGGAACGCACGAGGCGCTTGACGAAAAGTATACACAGCACTACCAGCTAACATTCTGACATGACGCGCGCCGCATCAACTGAACCATGTTGAGAATGTGTTGTGCCTCTTGCAGAAGTTGAGAGGAATGTTGTGGCGGACCTGAAGAGGAAATCGAAGAAGAACAAGCCACTGACCCCTCTGCAGCTGGCGCAAGCCAAGTACATCACCCACATTCATGTAGAGTTCGAGGCCTCCCTCCGCCGATGTGTGTATGGACCGGGTGAGAAGCAACATGCATGCGCACGAGTGGTGCCAGGCGAGTGCGAACTAAGCACGATGCCGTGTGCTGTCCATTTCTTTCGCGCGATCAGTTGGCGTGCGCGTGTTCATGTACTCTATGATGCGAGCCCGGCAGCGACAAGCATTCCGCCTGTGAGCAGAGATACCGCCACGCAGACATCGATGGATGCGTATGTGTGTGTGGTATGTTGCCCTGTACGCTGTGTATATGCATGCAGTCTGAAGGCCACAGGTCCGCTGCGCCGCCCCACCACACAGGAGACGACGTCGGCACCTGGGTGCTCCCTGAAACTGCAGTGAAAAAAGTGGGTGATGACGACCCGCTCCCCTTCCGCCGGACGACAGCTCACGAGTCGCCATAGTAGGGGACGACGACGACCTGGGCACGATAGAAGACGTCGAAAGGATGATCGAGGAATGTAGGAGGAGGGGATACGGGATGATAGAGCTCGCCGGCACCGCCACCGACACAGACCCGCCAGACCAGCAGCTCCCGGGCGAGCCACAGGAGGGCGAGATGCCCGCAGAAGAGCCTGTAGCGACATAAAGATGAACGAGATGAGACTGGGCCACTCTGTGTCTCCGTGTGTCTCCAGGCAATCGGTGCCTACATTTTATATCATTGAGCTTTGTATCTTGCATTCCGACGCTTCCTCCGCGGACCTGGTGAGATACGGTAGACGTACGAGTGGGGGAGAAAATGGAATGAAGTGTTATGTGTCGCGTCTGCAGGTATGTGTACGGTGGCTGCAAGGGTCCCGAGACATTAGCGGATCTCTACGAAGACGATGTATCTTCGAACGAGTGGTTCAAGATACTGCCAAGAGCCAACACGCCCTGTCCTAGGTATGGGTACACACCACACGAACACAACACAACAGAACACAACACAATGCATTCACGGCGTGGCACACAGAGGTAAGACAGAACACAACACAATGCATTCACGGCGTGGCACACAGAGGTAAGTACCTTCACCCCTCACCCCTCTTCCCTCATCCATCCATCCATCCATCCATCGATATGTATGTGTGTCTCTGTCTGTCAGACATCAAGCCCGAGAACTGCCTGCTGTTTCGCGAGGCGTCAGACAGCGCCACTGCGGGTGAGCAGCAGCGGCAGAAGACCCCCCAGGCCAGCCCGTCGGCGTCATCCTCCTCCAGCCTCCCCAGCGCAGCGGCCAGCAGCCCCCACCAGCTGACACTGAAGGTAAGATGGCTGCTCACCCACCACACACACACACAGCACAGCACAGCACAGGGGGCATGGGTTCTGTCGATGTGTGTTGATGTGGTGATGTGGTGTGCGTGTGGCGTTCCTTTGGGTCAGCTCTGCGACTTCGGCCACTTAAAGCGGTATAAGGTCCAGGCCAATGGGCGAGAGCACACCGTGCGAGCGAACGACTTGCAGGTCAGTACGACCATCATCCATCCATCCATCCATCTGTATGTGTCTTCTCTCATCACCCCTTTCCTCTTTGACACATTCAGGGGACGTGGTCCTATTGTGCGCCCGAGGTGCTGTGGGCGGCGCACGAAAACAGCAACTCCATCACCGCGCCTGTAAACCAACAAACACCGAACACCCAGAGGGCATGTTATATCGCGTGTGTGTCGCTTGGCTGGCCAGGAGAATTACATCTCTTACGAGCTCCCCCCGAGCGACATATTCTCCCTCGGCGCCACCCTATTCGTCATGCTCTTCGGCACCTTCCCATTCGGGGAACTGGAAGGCAAGCATTACGTAAGTGGGCGCACCGAATTTAAACGACACGCAAAGAGGGAGATTCGGGAACACAATAATTGCAGGCCACTTGTGTGCTGCTTGTTTGCAGACCATTGCACAGGGCAGTTACGAGGATTACGCCGACCAGCGGGCCACCCACCTCTCCAGCGACGAGAAGGACGACATCTACGAGCTCCTCGACAAGGTGCTCCATAAGCAGCCCTCCTTTCGAGCGACATTCGAGGTCATCGCCAGGGATTCTTGGATGGCCGGAATCTTCCAGGTCTCCGTGTGTCTCTTGGCACCTGGTGAGGGAGAGAAACGCCCAGCACACACATATCGGCAGGGATGTCATTTAAAGTGTCTGTTGGCTGTGTGCAGGTGTTTGAGTCGGCTGCTGACACGCTCAGCGATACCGACACTGTCATCCACCACATGGTGAGTGAGGCATCCACAAACGGACACAGAAGCACACCGCCAAAGTCACCTGACCTCTGTTGTTTATATATGTGTGCAGGAGAGCCGTCCATTCGCACGCACCGCCACCGCCATCCACATCGCACACCCGCCACGCCAGCCAGCGGCTGCCAAGAGGGAGAAGGAGAGGGAGAAGAGGCAGCGCAGGAAGGCGAGGAGGAGGGACCGCCGACTGCAGGAGGCTATCGAATGGAAGGCGGAGCAGCGAGAGCGGGCCGAGAGGGAGCGGGAGGAGAGGGCGACACGGCGGCAAGAGAGGCGGGCGGCGGCGAAGATGAGGAATGCACTAGAGGCACAGCTAGTGAGTGAGGGGGACGTACACACACACATTCCATCTGTCTTGTTTCTTGATGTGTCTCCAGGCAATCGGTGCCTACATTTTATACCATTGAGCTTTGCATCTTGCATTCCGACGCTTCCTTAACGTACCTGGTAAGATACGGTGGACGTACGAGTGGGTTCTGTCGATGTGTGTTGATGTGGTGATGTGGTGTGCGTGTGGCGTTCCTTTGGGTCAGCTCTGCGACTTCGGCCACTTAAAGCGGTATAAGGTCCAGGCCAATGGGCGAGAGCACACCGTGCGAGCGAACGACTTGCAGGTCAGTACGACCATCATCCATCCATCCATCCATCTGTATGTGTCTTCTCTCATCACCCCTCCCCTCTTTGACACATTCAGGGGACGTGGTCCTACTGTGCGCCCGAGGTGCTGTGGGCGGCATACGACAACACCAGACAACAGCTCACGAGTGGCCATAGTGGGAGATGAAGAGGACCTGGGCACGATAGAAGACGTCGAAAGGATGATCGAGGAATGTAGAAGGAGGGGATACGGGATGATAGAGCTCGCCGGCACCGCCACCGACACAGACCCGCCAGACCAGCAGCTCCCGGGCGAGCCACAGGAGGGCGAGATGCCCGCAGAAGAGCCTGTAGCGACATAAAGATGAACGAGATGAGACTGGGCCACTCTGTGTCTCCGTGTGTCTCCAGGCAATCGGTGCCTACATTTTATATCATTGAGCTTTGTATCTTGCATTCCGACGCTTCCTCCGCGGACCTGGTGAGATACGGTAGACGTACGAGTGGGGGAGAAAATGGAATGAACTGTTATGTGTCGCGTCTGCAGGTATGTGTACGGTGGCTGCAAGGGTCCCGAGACATTGGCGGATCTCTACGAAGACGATGTATCTTCGAACGAGTGGTTCAAGATACTGCCGAGAGCCAACACGCCCTGTCCTAGATATGGGTACACACCACACGAACACAACACAACACATCACATCACAACACAACACACTGCATTCCAAAGGCATTCGTCCCTTGGTGTGGGGATGTAATTCAGACACTCTGCACTGATCAGTGGCACCCAGGTGTTCGTGTTTAGGGGTGTCGACCTGACACACACACGGCGGGTACGCAAGCAGACATATGGTACACGACAAACATGCTGTGCTACTGCTGTGTTTGTGGAAAGACTTGCACGTGTTTGGGCGCTGGAAATGTTCCCGTTGAGTCGGCCGAGGAGGCGCCTGCTGCAGACGAAATCCATCTGGTAAGGCAGGGATGTCATGCGACGTGTCTGTTGGCTGTGTACAGGAGTTTGATGAGACGCTCAGCGATGCCGACACTGTCATCTACCACGTGGTGAGTGAGGCATCCACGGACGCACATACAGGAACACACCGCTCAAGTCATCTGATATTTGTCGCTTATGTTTCCAGGAGAGCCCTGTAGACGCACCCACCGCCACCCCTCACCGCCACCGTCTGTGCTGTGGTGCATTTCTTGCAGGCATCGAACGAGGGGTTACGAGGGATATGAGGGAGAGGTCGCGAGGGAAGAGGAGGCTCGAGCTGACACCACAGGAGCAGGCCAAGGTGAGCTACCTGACGTGGATATACGTGGAAGCTCATGACGACCTGCGGCGGTACATCTACTGGCGTGGTGAGAGCGACAGACGTACACGAAGGAAGGGCAGATGATTGATAAGATGTGTGTAATCCAACCCAACACAACACTTTCTCTGCATGCATGCATCGGGCGTTGTGCTCTGCGTGCGTTGTGTCTCTTGTCTTGCTCAATCAGCTGGGCCCCAGTTCCTCGTCGACGGAATGATGCGCGCACTCGAGCGTCGCGCGTTCCGCCTGTGAGCAGTGCAGTGATACATACATACATACCGCTGCGGGCACAAGGATGGGTGCATATGTATTGTATATATGTATGTATATGTATGATGGATGGATGGATGGATGCACGTGTGTAGGTTGCGGGATGCCAAGGATGAGCGACGCAAGGCGCCCGTTGCGGTATGTATGTATGTATGTATGTACGCACAGCACAGCACAGCACAGCACAGCCCCCCTCCAACAACCCACCCACACGCATGTCATGTGAATCGATGGTTTGGTGTGTGGTTTGGTGTGTGTGTGGTTGCATTGCAGGACGAGTGCGGATTGGCCACAGTTCACCACAGCGAGCCGTTGCACGACGACGACAACGTGATGAGCGTCAGCTAGGTGCCGCCTTCCACTTCAACCACCACAGTTCACTTCAGCGACCTCATTCTGAAGGTAGGGAGGTACATATTATATGCACAGACAGACAGACAGACAGACAGACAGCTATGCATTTGTGGCGAGCCAGCGAGGCAGATCGAAGCTGTCAAGTCATGTCACACACACCGTGGGTGCGTGTAAATATAAGCACTGGTGCATCTCATCTTTCGCGTGTGTCCCTGCAGTTGTGCCAGCCCACAGTGTTTGGTCTGGATGTGTCCGCCACGGATCGCGACTGGCTCATGATACCCCGCCTCACCAAGCGCGTCGGCGACGTCACGTGGTCACCGTCGCTCGAGGAGCACTACAGCCCCATGACAATGGTCAGTCAGTCAGGAAGAACGGTCACTGGGATGGAATTGCAGGGTATGGTTCAAGTCCCGGCCGATCTCACCACCCTCCACAAGACCACTCTGATCATCCACGAGCCCGACCAGCAGCCTCCACAGCAGGAGGAGATCGCCGACCAGGGCGAGCCCACAGCCACCATCGCAGACCCGGCAGCCCAGCCACAGGACGCCGAGACGTCTGCAGAAGAGCCCCAGGGAGAGGCCGAGCAGGGGGCATCCGCGGTCGTAGAGGACGGAGAGGTCGGTGCTGCTGCGGCCGAGGGAGAGGGAGAGGGCGAGGTGGCTGACGACACGCCCAGCGACACCGACACTGTGATTCATCAAATGGTAAATGAGGCAGGTTGCACACACACAGAGAAGCAGGCCGTCTAAGTGATGCATGGACGGACGGACACATCACATCGGCCGGCACGGATAACATACGTACATGTAATCTGTCTGTCTGTCTGTCTGTGTGCCATGCAGGTGGTTGAGGTTCCTGAGAAGGGAGAGGAGGCGACTGAGGGCCAGCATGTGCACTCCGACCCGAGCAGCAGCGACAGTGCGAGTGCGGTTGCCGTCGAGCTGGAGGCTATCCACCCGCCCTCGCCCCCACTCAATGCGTATGCACCTCAGTCACCACATGGACGCAGTACACACACCACGGCTGAGGCTGTCTGGGTCACCTCTTCTGTGTCGTCAGATAAAGGAATCAATGGCGGAAGGTGTGCTGCCGCTCAGAAGAAGACAGAGACATGTACAGTACTGAGATACTTGTCTGTGTGCAGGCGGGCGGGGCCTGGCAATCGTTGTCTACATTTTATATTCTGGGGTCTCTTCTTCCGATTCTCGCGGACGGAGGCGCACAGACAGGTAGGCATTGAGCTCAATTTGTTATTGTCAAATTGTAGACATGTGGAGGAGGCCGAAAACCCTGTCGACGCCTGCTGCCCAACGCTACGGGCCAAGGGCCCCGCAGGTCAGTATGTAAAGAGGAACAGCCACGGGTCCTTTCGAATTCATTTGGTTGTGTCTCTTGAGCAAGGAATCAGTTGTAGTCGTCGGTGTCAACAAGGCCACGGCAGCTGGTGGCTCAGAAGACCCATCCAAGCTGACCGACCTTTAAGTGCGTACCGTACCGTACGTCAGCCAGCCAGTCACCCGAAAGACACAGCCAGCTAGATAGATGGGTGGAACGGAACCTGCATTGCAGCACAGCACAGCACAGCACATGCGCGGGCGTATGATTGGTGGTTGTCTCTGCTGCGTGTCAGTGTTACATCTCGGCCGATGCTGGAGGCGTCGCAGTCCAAGTCCAGCCACGGCAGTGTGTCGGGAGCGAGCGGTGTTGTGCAGCCTCCCAACTCATCGCTCCGTATTGGCCCGTCTCTGCAGGCGCCGGCTTCATCTGTGGCTCCACCCTGAATGTTCGGATCACACACACCAGCAGGTACTGTGGGTACACGCACAGGGAGGGGAGGGGAGGGGGCTGGTGTGATGGTAGTGTGATGGATGATTCTCGTTCGTGTCTCTGTCTGCGTCTCTTTGTGCGTCTGCGCTGCTCTTTTGTTCAGGGCTTTGCCGCCACACCCGTGCCGCGGTGGTGCTGCTACTGCCCGGCCGCCACTGTACCCATATCCCCCGGCCATGTACCCCAAAGCAACACAGCACCCCCCCCAAGCACCATCAGTCGCCGGCCACGGCCACATCGCCGTTCGGGGACGCCAGCAGCGTTAGTGGGGGTCAGCTGAGAGTGGCGGTGCATTATGGTGTCGGTGGGCGTGGGGGCGTCGCCCGCAAACGCCCCAGTGTGGCCGATTCCAAGTCTCCTGATGGCGTGGCAAGTGCATCGCTCTGTGCCGTTCGTTCTAGTAGCTGACGAAAACACCAGTCCCAGCCCCCCAAGGCAGATGCTGGCGTCTGCCCGTGGCATTCCTTCACCGCCTGTGGCAATGCTTCCGGCGGTCCAGGCGGTGCGTTCGAGGTGTCCTCCACGTCAAGGGGTCCGTAGAGATGCTGACGGACCTGCTTGAGATGCACTACTTAATGAAAAGGTGAGCTGATGCCATAGACGATGGAAAGCCGCAGATGGATTCAAGTACGTCAAGAGACAGACAGCCAGCTGGATCGATGGATAATGCGATTTGCAACACCCATCCCATGGTTGTGCCTCTGCTGTGTGTACTGTCAGTGTTGTGTTTCGGCCGATGGTGGAGGCGTGGCGGCCCGACCAGTCGCTCGTTGTGTACCCGTCCAGCCGCGGCGGTGCGTGGGCATCGACCGGTGCAGTGGGGCCGCGGACGTCATCACTACTCACGAGCCCGTCTCTGCAGGCGCCAGCGTCGTCCGTGGCGCCGCCCATGACCTTCGGACCACACACACCAGCAGGTACACCAGGCGGGGGTCGCAAGGGGGCCCTCATCACCTCGCACGACCACCCCTTCCTCGACCTCATCAAGAAATAAACACACACACACACACCCCGACACAGACAGACAGGGGGAAAGACGCATACACACATTGACACATTGATGGGTGCGTACTTTGTAATGTTATCGATCCATCGATGCCTGACTCCTATGTTCTGTTTGTGGCGGCGGCCTGTTTCGTTTCCACCGCCCCTGTAGAGTATCTACGCGTGTATAGGGAAGCCAAGCCAATTCGTGTGTTTTCGATGCAGACATGCAGACAGACAGACAGACGGACAGACAGATAACACATACACACATTGATACAGTGATGGATGGATGGATGGATCACCCTTTCAGCCAGCTAACCAGCCAGTTGTGCAGAGCACGTATCCATTGGGCACTACCAGCGTCGCCCTATCCATCACAGGGTGAGTGTGCAAGAGATGGATGAAGGGAGAGAGAAAGGACAGGACACCCTGTGTCTCCACGTGTTTTTAGGCTATCGGTGCCTACATCTTATATCCTGAAGTTTCGTAAGTCGAGCGACACCGCACATGACCAATCTTGGCAAGGGCGGTGGGTGTAGGGTGGCACTGTAGAGAGGGGGATAAAGAGAGACCGGCAGTGTTTGGTGTGTATCAAGGCAGGGAGGGAGGGAGGGAGGAACTGGCTGTTTTGCTGGCGATCGGTTGTTCGAGCATACGTCTAAATCGGTGGAGGTTGCAGATAATAGTGATGGACCTGAGCGTGTCTGAAAAACCGTTTGTTTTGCTGTATTGCTAGAATGGTTGGACGAGTGGGTTCAGTTGGTGCACGGCACGCGACGCATGAATGTCACCGTATAATCAGGCAACGGACGACACAAATACGAATGAGTGAATGAACGAGGCACCGCCGGTCGGTCGGTCGTCGACGAGTGCGTCCCATCCATGTCGGTTCATCCTCAACACGACTGCTTCCAGTGGGTGTATCTGTTCTTGAGGGGTGTCTCTCGCTCGAAGTACTGCCGCAGACGAGGATTGACGTGCGCGTTGTCGCGGGAGGGATGGAGGTGGAAGCGATTGTCCCACTTGACGATGTGGCCCGTCTTGTCCTGCCCCACACACACGGACCGATCTTCACTCCATGTCTTCTTCCTTCTTCGTGTCTCGCTTACTTTCATGTTGCCGCCTGGTCTGTGTCTCGAGTGGTTCATGGTCAAATACTCCCGCACGGTCTCCTCAGAGGTCAACCCACTCGCCAACCTGCCATATGGCAATGGGATTCGCCCACACAAAAGAAGACCTTTCTCGCGGCTGTGGATCTCACCGTCTGATCTGCATCCGAGAGGACATGTCATCACTGCCCTGGTACCGCTTCCAATACTCGGCTGGCGTCCCGAACGGCGCGGTGGGCCGATCGTCCGCCACAGTAGATATGTGCTGCAAGAAGTGGCTGCCCGAGCTGCTTAGTGTGCCCCTCTGAATCTCGTGGTGCAGCTGGCCGGCGGTATTGGATCTACCGAGCTTGGGCACCGGCTGGCCGTGCACGGGTGAGCCGGGCGGGCTGAGCAGCCCCTGTGATGTCTTAGCGAAGTGTGCCGGCTGTACGCTGCCTGAGCGGGTGAGGACGTGCGTGGTGGTCGGCCGGTCGCTGGGCGACACCTCAGAGGGCAACGTGCGGTGCTCAGGCGGGGCCGCCTTAGGATGACCGAAGTAATCCCTGCAAAGGGAGAGAAGACACACATCCCCCAAATCAACCATCCAAAGCAGTGTCCTCTCGGTTGCTCACCTCATGCACACGGGTCTCCCATCGTTTCCCTTGGAGGACGTGAGATGAAATCGATCGTGCCACATCTTGTCGCCCGGCTGCTCCTGCGGGAGCGGAGGGCCCTTGAGTGAGGGAGACTTAGGCGACTGCCGCTGGGCTGATGTGGGCGAGCGGTCTCTGCCTGGCGGTGGCGCCTTGCGGCTCCCTCCTGACGGAGACACGCTCCGGGGAGGCGACGATCCGCGTGGACGGCTGAGAGAAATAGAAATAGAGGTAGTCTCAAGTAGAGATGCCACGTTCCGAGTGAATTGCCTACGAGTGAGAGGATGTCCGTCGCGATGCCCCCTGTCTGGACTGGGCACGGGGCTCACGCTGCCCGCCACCAGCGGCACCGCTACTCGCCCTCCGCCGCTGCACTAGTGGCTCACGGAACATGAATGAGGGCGAGCCAGCAGGGCATTCAGGGAGTGCTGGGCTGGCCGATGATGGCGCGGCGAGGGACGACAGGAGCGGAGAGCAGTCCCATACTCTCAGTTTGCCGTCCAGGCTGACAGACGCAACGCGGCACCCGTCGCCGGAGAAAGTGATGCCAGTCACGTCCTTGCTGTGGCCTGCAACACGGCACACCGGCATTGTCGACAAGATTACGTGGTCACGTGTTGTGCTGTACCCTTCAAAACAGCCACCAGGTTGAGTTTCAGTCTCATGTCGACGTGCCCGCCCTGCTCGCTATCGAGCGTCTTGGACAGGTCGCCCACTCGATCGGACATGGGAGTGCCCGACGACGCATCGGGGGGCAGGCTGACAACCTCCTCGCCTGCACACACATTGGAGGAGGCATGAAGCCCTTGTCGCCCTCCCTCCCTTGGTTGTTTCGTACCTTCGGTCTCCGGTTCGTGTGCTGACTGCACGTGTGCGGGCGATGCGGCACCAAGCAACACAACCTCTCCCGTTTTCATGCCAATCGCCACCAGCGTCTATGCAAAAAAAAACCATCGTGAAGGTGTTCATGGTTGCATTCACTTCGTTGCATTCCTTTTCACCTCTGACACGGCGAGCGATCGAATGACGGGTTGCATCGCCCCTTCCCTCTTCCCAGCTGCATTGGGTGGCTGCAGCGCCTCAGCAGGGATGAGAAAGTCCTCATACAGCGCCGGATTGCGCGCAGACATCATGCGGACGTCGCCCTGTCTGCTACACGCAATGACAATCTTGCCGTTGCTCGCAACACGATGGAAGCGACCAGGAATCTGCAGCAAGACATCAGCTCCGATAACTCATCGTATGTGAGACATGAGCTGCCTGTCCTTCTCTTACCGTCATGACGGCGGTAGATTTGAGAAGGTCGACGATGACCATCCCCGACGTCTCCCCCACAGTGGCCAGAAGAGTTGGCGCCTCAGACTCGGACAAAGGGCAGGCATCCATGACCGGGCCATCATGCAGAGTGCAGGGAGGATTCAGGAGCGCTCCAGACTCGCGAGACCACACCGCCAGCTGCCCATTCATCCCTGCACACACGAAGAAACGATAAAAGGTGGAATGGCGATACATACGTTGGTGCAGAAGGCCTCACCAGTGGCGGATATCCATTTGTTTGACGACGCGGGTGTGATTGTGAGGGTGTGCTTGTCCAGATACACACGAGATGTCTCTCGCAAAGGCCGTTGGGTCACATCCACAGAACGAAGAGAGCGGTCCTGCAGGAAGCAGCAAAGGCAGACCACTGTTGTGTCGCAAGCCTTCCCTCTACCTGTGCTGCGTAGCATATTGTGGTGTTGTCTGCCGAATAGGCGACGGCCAGCGTGGCCCCGCCTGAAAAAAAAAAACAAAACAAAAAAGCAATCAACCACAGCAAATCAGGACGTACAACATCCTTGCTGACTGCCCCATCGAGTGGCCTTACCGAGTTGACTGTCAGAGTGTTTGTCGTGTCCAATGGGCAGCAATCGGCTGTTGTCCACATCGACGATTCTCACGCCCTCCGTCGACCCCACACAAAGGTTCTTGCCTTCACGAGAATAACTCACACAACCAAGAGGGGCGCCGAGGTCTGCAAGCATCACACAGCATCACATGTGGCGGACATTGCACTGCGGAGTCGTTTCCGTGTACGTCAGGCGCGATGAACAAAACGAACCGAATGTGATTTGAGACAGCGGGAGAGCAGTGGGTTTGTTCTCTTCATGAATGCCATTCTGCTGCTGCATGATGCTCCGTGACAGCAATATTGCAGACTGAGGCCCTTCTCCTCTATGGGGGCTTGTGGGGGCCTGCAAGCTCGAGCCGAAAGGAGATGTACCTGCTCATGCATCCGGCTGCTCTTAATGCAGCGCCTCTGCAGTGATCCCACTCTCAACTCCTCCGGGCCCCTACTTCGTTACGGCAAGTATGGAAGTATGCAAGTACAGAGTCTGTCAGTCTGTCTGTGACTTGTTGGTTGCGGACGCAGGGCTGTCGTCTTTGGGGCTTTCTGTTTCATCTCTCTGCTGGGTCGCATGCATGTATGAGCTATGTGCGTTCTCTTCATCACCATTTTCTTTTTTTGTTGGACTTGCTCAAACGATGATTTGCTCAATCTAAGGATGCATGTACAGTCACTTAACCGTGTCCCACCGGCATTCGCACCCCTTCGGCATGCAGCCAGATGTCTGTGTGTCTGTGTCACTGTCTGCGTAGTTGTTTCTCAGTCTCTGTCTCTGTCTCGTCGATGTCTGGAGCTCCTTCTCGGAGCTTCGCCTATCGGACTTAGGTCACGCGCACCCAGAGGGCTCCGGTCTCGCCCTCGGGTTTCTCTGGTAGGGCACAGAGGAGATCGGGGGAGACACACAGAGAGTGGACGCGTGTGCGCATAAATGTCCGTCTGTGTGACCTACGACTTGTCTGTCTGTCTGTCTGTCTGTCTCTGCCCGTCAACCTGTCCGTGTGTCTGTCTCTCGTGTGTGTGTGTCTGCTTGCCTGTCACGTCTTTTCCTCCTTCGCTCACGATCCCTTGCTCGAGTGCGTTCGTCCTCGCTCGTGCTCCCCTTCTCTCCCGCCGCTGTCAGGTAAATGGGCTCGTCTGCAGCAGATAAGCAGTTGCATGCCATGCACGGCCGAATGCATGGATGGATCGGCCGATCGCGACATGCAGACAGACAGACAAACCGATACATGCATACATGTGCGATAAACGCTGCTCTACCTGCGGTCTGTATGATCTCGTTAAGAATGTACTGTTTGGTATCTCCCCTTTGCCGGACAGCCTCCGGAGCGGCTAGGCAGTCTTTCGCCTCGGATGGCAGGCTGTCGAGCAAAACTCCAAGTGCTGACTCAACCTTGGAGGTGCCCACCGTGGGCTCTCTCTCTGCTCTCTGCTCATACAGCTCGCCGAGCGCTTGCACGAAACACATGTCCTGGTGAGCGATGCTGCCTAAAAGCATACAGACATAGTGGGGTGGGCCCACACATACACACACACGAACGCACATAGACACGCATACTTACCTGTTGGGTACTTTGGATGCAATCGTGCTTTCAGTCGCAGAAAGGCCGAACCCTTCGACGAAGGAGGAGACGCGGCTGTCCGCTCCTTGTTGCGGACACACTCCTGCGCCAGTGGCTTGATGGCTGCGTTGACGTCGCCCTCTTTGAAACCCAGCCGTTTCAGCTTCTTTTCCAGTAGGGGCTGATCCAGGAAGTCGTACAGGTCAGTGTCTGTGTCTGTGAGGAGGTCGACCATGCTCTGGCAGGCCTGCTGGTACTCTTCATCCGTTTCGTCACCCTCTCGCTGGTATCTGAAGCCGAAACTGTGGTACCAGAAGGCTGCATTGCATACACACACGAGTAGACAGGCACTGTCGTCTGGCTGGCTGGATGGCTGACCATAACGCTGAAGGAGCACTGGGTACATGTTCGATGAATCGTCCGACAGATGCACTGTATCGCACCCTGGGTGAGTCCACGCACACACAGACGCATACGCATGAAGACATTCATGCCAACCATCCATCCACCTCTCCCAGTGACAAGACACCTACATGTAGACCCGAGTGAGTCCAAGAAGGACAGAACGATCAACATGACCTCCGTCCCTGTGGCAACCGTGTCGCCCTCGTCACTCACGCCGGGAACCACCCTGCGCACACACACGCCCGCACACACACCATGGCATTCACCCACGTCTTCACGAGGAAGAGCAGCCCTGAGAGAGATAGACGTACTTACATGTTGATCATGCATCCTCCATTTGAGTACAGTTCTGTCTTCGTCCTGGTTTGTCCGGTATACAGGCGCGTGCCGCCGATCGACACCGGTGTGAGGCCCACTGCTCCACCGAACTTTTCGGACACCACCACCGCCATACCGAGCTCCACCACCTCCTTGCCTGCGAGACGGCTACTGACAAGTCGGCTCTGCCAATCGCGCAGTACCTCGACCTGTGTGATGGATGCATCCATGGAACACACACACACAGGCACAGGCACACACATACGTACACACACACACACACAGAGAGAGAGAGAGAGAGAGAGAGTTTGGCCCGTCTGGCTGCGTGAAGGTGGCCCCGGTTCGTGTGTGCGGCGCACATCACAACGGAGCACCAGGTCCCGCGTCACAAAGTACGAGAACGTCCTGCAGACCGACCGACCGACCGACCGAGGAACAAGGCAAAGAAACAAACAAAACAGACGAGCAGTGTCGTGGCCCTGCGCATGGAGTTCCTGCCTTACTCCATAGTGGGATTGTGGCATGGGTCAAGGGGGGGAGGATCTGACTCCCTGGGCCAAGTGGCGTTCGTCGTCAACACGTCATCCCGAAAAAAGCTGCAATGGCTGTGCCAAGGAATGGCCAGGAGGATCAACAGCTGAAGCAGAAGGCCTTCAACCGCAGCACACAGCACCATCAGCAAGCCAGGGTGAAAGGCACAGAGGCCCGACACCGCCGTCTCAGAGACGCCCCCACACGGCCCCCAGGACGCTCCGACAACAATTGCCTCTCAGGATCTGTTTGTCTGTCCGGCTGCATCTATGACGTTCGCACACACACACACACAGTCGCGCTGCATGCACGCATCGCGTCGATCGGATCGACGAAAGGGAAACACACAAACAAACACGCAAACAACACAATTGAGCCAAACAGCCATTCGCCAACCAACCAAGACACCCAGAAAACAGGGAACAAAAACACAACAAGCAGTGCCATCTACCTGGTCCGGCGACAAAAGGAAAGCCGGCACACGCACGACATGACACGCACGACATGCAGAGAAGCCATCAGCCAATCAATCAAAATCGCAACACACGCCTTCCATCAGGTGTGTTGTGTCATGCGCCGCGTCAGCCCCTTCCTGGTCTTTCCATTCCTGCCAACGAAAAAGACCTCATCTCATCCCCCCCATCCCATCTCATCTCTTCGTTGCTCGTGCACACACATCACATGGAGACACACATGTACGCATGGCCGGGTGCACTGAGGGAAAAAGATCAGGCTCAGAGAGAGAGAGAGAGAGAGAGAGAGAGCCGCGCGTGGACGACATCGCATTAAAAAGCTCTCCCCCCTGGCCTGGCCTCGCCCCGCCGGGCCGTGGCGGCGGCTAGCTACAAAAGAAGGACAATCTCAGATGAGCGCATCCATCTCATACGCGTGTATGTATGCCAGACAAACTCCCCCTCACTCACTGACTCACTCACTGAGCTATGCTATGTGGGCCCGTCCGTGTTTGGTGTGGGTGTGGTGTATGGTCTATTTGTTGGAGAGTGCGGCGACGCCGGGCAGCTCCTTGCCCTCGAGCAGCTCCAGCGACGCACCGCCGCCAGTCGACACGTGAGACATCTGTGTCCATCGCACGCCACGCACCAGAAAGGAAGGAAACACATACACATGGATTCGACGCGTGCCACACGCGCAACACACAGGCTGGCCAGCGCACCTTGTCGGCCTTGCCGGCGTTCTCGACCAGCGATGCCGTGTCGCCGCCGCCCACAATGGAGATGGCACCCGCCTCGGTGGCAGACACAACAGCCTGACACACACACAGACACACACACACACACACACACGGAGAGAGAATGAGGGGAGTGGGAGAGAGCGTTCGATGTGTATAGACATTTTCATTTTTCAAGTAGCCATGTGTGTGCAGGGGTGTGTGTGTGTGTGGTTGGCTCACGTCGAGGAATGCGAGTGAGCCCTTGGCGAAGTTGGGGAACTCGAACACGCCTTGGGGCCCGTTCCACACTATCAACTTGGCCTTGGATATCATCTGGCGAAAGGAGATATGATGTGACGATACCCAAGATGTCGCATCGCTCTGGTGGGCCGGGTGCACTGGTTAGTTACGTTTCTGGCGTTTTCGATGGACTTGGGTCCGCAGTCGAGTCCCATCCAGCCGTCGGGGATGCTCTCGCCCACGCCAACCTGCTTCACCTGCACTCACACGACCACACCCCACGAGAAGTCAGGGCTTTGTCATACGACACGTGTGCCCATTACCCACCGCAGCGTCCTTGTCGAATTTGTCACCGCAGACGAAATCCACGGGGAGCAGAATCTCCACGCCCTTCTCCTTGGCCTGATGATTGGATGGATAGATGGATGGATGGATGTCGGTAAGTGTGTGTCTGGGTGGTGTGTATGCTGGTTACCTTGGCCATGATTTCGGGTACGATTTTTGCGCCCTCTTCGTCGAAGAGCGAGCCGCCGATGCTCATGCCTTCGTTGACCTTCTTGAAGGTGAAGGCCATGCCGCCGCCAACTATCATCAAATTCACCCTGACACACACACACACACACAGGCACATGCAGCCATGCAGATGGCCTGCCCCCCCCCCCCCCCCCC